AATATAAAGTTTCGACACAGTTTGTTTAACAGTCAGTAGGTAATTTTATTCACATAAAACCAAAGGTGGGTAATTATCGTTAGTTACATTAGATAGCAGATCTACTACTATACTTAATACCCGATTATTAACATTTTAGGCTATTTAATTCCGTTTAACAAATCCAGGGGCGGCAAGGGCTCTCCAGTTGTGACACAATTGTCCAATTTCGTTCCCCATTCTGATAAAATGCTGACGCATTACGGACGTGACGAACGGCTGCTCTTCTCTGTTGAATGTGCTTATCGATGCTGGAGAGGAAGGGGTCAATAACCTCTACAGTCGTAAATAAAGTAAATTCCTTTCATTATTAAATTTGTGATATTATGATTTTTTGTTTATTTATTCCTATCGAGTTAAAAAAAATCGGTATCGGTAAAACTTTTTACCGGATTAAAGTTATGTATTATTATAAATTTACAATTATTTTACATAATTTTAAATTTATCCGACGTTTCGCGTGCTTTACAGCGTGCGTGGTCACCGTGACCACTTTAATCCGGTAAAAAGTTTTTTCTTTAAATATTCCTATCGAGTTATAGAGAGAGCTTAATGTGTTGGTAGCTGTTGCATATATATATTTTTAAAAACGAAGTAGAACTCATAAGATACGCTACTAGCGTATCTATCGTAGGTATATTAAGATAGGAGATCCACGAATGCCTTAAACAGGCTTAACAATACCTGTATACTTAGAGAACGGCATAATGTCGCCTGAAATCCTAGCCTCGTCACTAAAGCCGTGAACAAAGAAGTTAATACCTTTGTTGACGGTACATTGAGGTACTTACTTGCGAGTTGCGTTTAAAGGAATGCAAGCCTAGTTCTAGCCTAGTAGGTTCATTGTAATGAGTTCATTCGAAGATTGGAATGGGTTTTGTTTTAAAATGGAAATCTCTATTTGCCTACATTCAAATTTAGAACGCTTGCAATGCCTTTTACATCCATTTACACAAAAGCCTCGCAATGCGGACACATTATGCAAACGAATACATCTATTATTGCGTTTACAAAAAAGGGTCTAAGAGATTTATACCTTCTAAACGCATTAGTTATTAAAACTAGAAAATAATGTGTATGTTAAAGCAACAATGCAACAGATCCCAATTCAGTACCTTACTAACAGCCTGACTGAGTGAAGTGTGAGTTATATAATAGTTTTTGATGGGACACTCAGTCGCATATGCAAATAAATGCATCGAACGCCTATATGGGCCTTTGGCACGTTTTCCGCCACTTTATACCTAAATAGCGTCAGAGATAATACTATTAGTACTTCGAAAAGTTATGAGGGACCTACATACGGACGTGTAAAAGGGTTACTGGCTGGATTATTTCGAAAGACGTTTATGCTTAGGTACAATGATAAAATGCACTTTATAATCTACTTTATAGTCTAATTCATCAAAATTGATCAATTATATCAGTAAAACACCTACCTTGTTTCGTTAATCATTACTAAAGGCATATAACTGCTAACAGCGTTAACCTAAGAGGGTGCTTGCGTAAACATTTCCGGTCTCATAATAATAATAATCAATTGTCAGGAACATATTTTGTTAAAACGGTTTCTAGATTTGGCTTCGTCCGGGAACCTCATCAGCTGTCGAATGAACTGACCGCTTGAGGAATTTACTAATACTTATGACTTGAAAACGATTAGGAATTACAATATTTCTGGGAAAATGGTTGACAAATAAACACACATTGCTACGCAGATATAATAAAAGAGATGAGAGATACTACGAGCGTTTTAATTAAGTTCGAAACCACTGGAGGTGAAAACAGTGCCGAGTCACTTTTAATGCAACAAGAAGCACACACTTTTGGAATCAACGGAAAGCCTTCTTCAAAAACCAAGTGCCACAAAATGCACATGCTTTAGGGTCGAGTAGCTCAGAAATTACAATAACTTTTTACATAAATGGACGAATTTGTCTATAAAAATATTTAAGTAACGAAGAAACTCGTTAAATACTTTGACGCGTTTGAAAGAAATACTCTGAAAAAAATATATGAAACGTGGAATCCCTACGTTCAAAATCTCCATTACAAAATGTGCTAGTTAAAATATACAAAATGTATGTAAGTGAAAAGTTTGTAAGAAATGCAAATAAGATTTCAGAATTGAAGATGAAAGAGTCGATTTAAATAACAAAAATAAGATGGAATTTACAAATAGGGATACGTTTTATATATTTTAGATTCTACAAAATATCATTTAAACGTGATAGATTTGGACATTTATATTACGGTTTGTGAGCAATTAATATTTATTTGGAATAAATAAATATACACAATATTTTGCTTAAAAGATTTATGAATAGCATGTGTAATCCCCTCTTACAGACCATTACACTTTGATACAATGTGACTCCGTTCTTCCTTTCGCTTATTATGATCGCCTTCCCATATTTTATACTAAAATACCATAACGAAAGTTCCAAAAGTAGGCATAAATCAAGAATTTCTCATGAATTTCATTCCCCGGACATTAAAGGGTCAAGGTAAGCCGTTAATCTTGTAAGAAGGTGCCCGTTCCACGTCCTAGTGCTAATGTTTGCTCGATAAATCTTCGTCAACTTACCTGTCACCTCTATAAAGATACAGCATTTGCCTGGTTCAAGATTTAATGGACAAACTGGGTAGACCTCCGAAACATTCCTACGCGCTATTTTTAATTCAGGATCACAAAACATTTACAGCTCGTTTTTTGCTGAAACATTAGGTAAGCGTAAAGTTTATTCATCTATTGTTTTTGGTTAATTTGCTTATCTGTCAATGTTTCGTATTTATTGATCATATTTTAAGTATCTTTCCGGAGTAGCGTTAAATAATTTGATAATTGTATTTATTTTATTACTTTCAAGAAAAATAATAAATGAAACATTCGGCTATAGTTTATTAAACTCACACTCGTTTTAGGCCTTTCTATATTTAAAAGGAAAAGAAAAACTAAAAAAGATATTCATCCAATAAATATCTATCTACATATAATTAATTTTTATTAGTAATCGCGTTGAATTGGAAAAGTTTGAATCTGTTATTAATATGAAACGTCACACACTAATTAAATGCTAAATGAGGTGTAGGCTATCATTACTTATTTTTATTATTATTATTATTAAATGTTATATTATGTTTCTTCTTTAGAAATGCTACAGTTAAATATCCCCAACATTTGAAATCCTATGATTAGTTTTTTTAAAGGATAAAGTATTTCTTTATTTCCTCACCCTAGTCCAAGCCAATAAAGGCCGACCCGCTGAAGCATTTTGTAAATACCGACGACCTAAAAACATGTTTTGAATTCCCTCGGGCGGACTTACACAGTCTCTCTATGAAAGCCTAAACTGTATGTGAAAAATTGTAATAGACTTTCAGAAGTAATGTTAGTTTCACCAACTTATGTTTGAAACTTTACCACTTGTTTTTGTATATACGTAGTTGTGATTTGTGGAAATATTATAAAACTTTTGCGCGTAGAAACTTTATGGGTTCATCAGTTTAGTAAGCCTCATTTTGTTCTAAACAAGTATCATGAGGTTTCGAAATAATATAAAAGCTAACCTAGCATGACTAATCCAACCCGTACACTAACACAAGTTCAAAAACCCAATTGGGGCTATTAAAGTTAAGAAGTCATGTTTAAAGTAAGCTTATTTACAATCTTTTACAAGTTCAACTGAAAGGAACTGCATTTAAAGTCAGAGGGTTAGAGGGCAGCGGCTACTGGTAACCGCCATTGACATTATACCTCTTATGTAGAGCCTTCCTATAATTATTTTCAAATTAATGCAAGTGTAACTCACTTCGCTTTTAAATCTGACTTATGAGTAGTTCTTGACCCCCTTCAGGTGCGAGGAGAACTTAAAAGCTGCATTTAATATTCCAAATCGACATTTTTAACGTTCCGATTTTGCAAGTTATGAACATACTCGACATTTGAGTCCTTACAGAAAACGCTAGATTAATTTGATTTTAATTTAACACTTTTATGTTACAGCTGTTTCACTTTTTCCTCTTTTGACACTTTCAATAATTATGATGAAGCCTACTGTACGGATTTGAGAGTTTATCGCAAGTAGGAAGACAGACGCTACCGAGGATTCCGTTTCATATTATGTGTAATCCTCTCTCTCTGATTTATTTTATTTGTACCCAACGTCCCAGTTAAAGTCATAATTACCTAAGTGCCCAATTACAAAAAACTTAATTAAAGTCAGAATTTAGTTTTAGCAACTTCAAACAAAATTATAAAGAACACTCAGAACTACTCTAAAGGCAACTCTACTTCTGTTTTTGAAGACATCAGTGCGTAAAATTTAATAAGCCTGTTCGTTATTATTAGATGATTTAGATTGGATTTGGATTAATCATAAAATTTCTATTCAACTCTCGAACTAAATGACTTTGGAAAGCAAACTTAAATTTTAATAATTAATGTTTTAGTAAAAAATTTAATAAAAATACAGTTAAATGCATTATTTTATTTACATTTGTATGTACAGTGAAATTTCGTATCTACAAAAAATATTTCGTTGATAATTTTATTAAAAGTTGTTAACAGTTATAAACACTAGATAAAACAAACATAAAATATTTACAGTTATAGATCTTGATAATTTGGAATCTTTAACAGAAATAATCTTTAAAGTTTATTAAACAGCTACTTAGATAAAAACGGATCTTCAATACAGTATTAACAACAATTCAAATCCATTGCAATGAATTCATAACAACATTAAATTTGTTTTATTATTAAGTGTCTTAAAAAGATAAATATCGAGATGATATTTAAATATATTATAACCTAATCTCAACTATTTATTAAATGCGATAGTGAACTTAATTTATAATATATTGAACATAACAAAAGTTTAATAGTAACCAAACTTATACTTTATTGGCTACAAAGGCTGTAAATAAAACTCAAAATAGACTCAAGAGCCTTCTGAAAATTATAAAGAAACTCCAGTATAATACATATCATACAACACACGATTATGTAACAATGAAATAATTGCGTAAAATGCAAAAATAAACTGTACGTCGGTCTGAAGAGCAACTGTCGCGGATGTGCGCGTGCCCCTTTCGTCAGACATGACACTTGAGGCCACGATGACCCGGCGACCACTTGCATCGTTTCGAGTTTCATCTGCAGCTGACACACTGCTCACTTCCGGGGGTACACAGCTTGGTAGTTTTATCTATAATAGTTTGTTATAAAACGTACAGATTAAATCTATTATCAGTGATATCGGTGAATCGTACATTGTACAATCGTACAGTGAAGTGTCAAATTTATAATAAATCAAATATAACGAACTTACTTGAGGTTTTGTATAGTTAAACGAGTCCATGCACCGACGCGCATGATGAGCTAAACAAGCTGCATATGCAATAGCATGGGGAATGTAGCTCTGTTCTACTACTCCAGTAAACAGCACAGTAGCCATTGGACCTTAGAAATAATAATTGTAATTTAATTTAATTGTATATTATATATTTATAATCCACTGTTATGGCCATGTAATAATACTCTATAGCTATTGTTACCTAAACCTACCTAAAGCATAAATAGGCACATCTTCTCCTCCATGCGTGGACCACTGTCTCGGCACTGCAGCTGCGTGAACAGCGTCGACAGACTTTGACAGAGTACCGTTGAAGGGCAATGCTCTTGGCTCCGAATGGCCTGGTCCAGTGCCATACAACAATGTGGTATACTTCAGGCCATCGACGTCTGATGGGACGGTGTCTGCACCTAAGAGAACATTAATCCTTATGCAAATAAATACACTATTCATCGAAGCTATATAACTTTGAACACAATTGCGCTCGATATTTGATTTTAATGATTATCTTAGAAGATCATTGATAGATTCTCGAATCTCACAGTCTCCGCAACAAAATACGCAAAAATCCATTTTAAATGAACCCGGAAAAACGACGAGGAACAGTGAATTATGTATTGAAAATCGTAAATTTATATTGTCTTTTATTGACATACCTTTCACACATTTGATTATAAAACAATTTTTTACCGGATTGAAGTTCACCATGACCACGCACGCTGTAAAGCACGCGAAACGTCGGTAAAATTTAAAATTATTGTAAATACATAACTTCAATCCGGTAAAAAATTGTTTTATAATCGTAAATTTATATTAAATAGGAATGTTTATACTGCGTCGGTAATTGTATTTAACGCAATATGGTTGTAGTGCAATCGTGAAATTGTTTGTGTTATTACAAAGGACGAGGTGCTTTGACACAACAATAACTGTAAATAAACAATCGTATTCGTAAGTAGTATTTCAATTGTAGAAGTCTACTTTTCAATTGAGAAAGTATATAAACTTTAACTATACGCATGTACCATCAGAGGACAGTCAAAATGGAGCAAGTCATTAATGCATTGGTACACAGGTCACATGAAGAGGAAAAGGGGTAGACCATTCCTAAGGTGGGTTGATGAAATAAGAGCCGTGGCAGGTGGCACATAGACCCGAACTGCCCAGGTTAGAAATTTATGGTGGGATTTCAAGGAGGCCTTTGCCAACAAAAGGCAAACAGACGTGGTTGTCGAGGGAATGTAAATATTCAACTATATTTAAGTTATTTTTTTCAATACTAAACATGTGGAATCTAGCTTAAGCAAAATTGTATCTTGTCTGAATAAAGGCTTTTATTATTGTTATTATACGCATGTGATACTATTAAAAATTGACTCACTTACCTAATATAGGATGACCGCGTGGTGTCGCTTGGCCACCAAAAGTCATAACGTGGCCGTGATCAGCGGTGACCACGATCAAAGTCTCAGCTGGATTGACTTTCTCTAAAGCTGCCAATAACGCCGTCTCTAACTCTAACGTTTCGTCTAGCGCTCTATAGGGGTTGTTGTAATGGTGAGCATGGTCTATCCTACCACCTAGAGAACAATACACATCTTCACTATTATATACTATAAAATGAATATTATATACTATTTAAAGGTTTAATTAACTTTTACACAGGTTTTCAAAATATTTTTAATACTTAAACATCACCTTCCAAGAGTAAAAAGAAGCCTTTGCTGTTTTTAGTCAGGATAGAAAGTGCGACGCGTGTCATATCAGCGAGCGAAGGATCTTCCGCTTTAGCGTTTCCGGTCGCGCCCGCGCCCTCTTCCGTATCCGCTACCGCTCCTCTCTCCGCATTAAACTCCATGTGTGAATATTCAAATAACCCTGCGAAACAAAGGCAATATACTTCGATGCTGAAAGGCAACTTTATGTATATGCGCCAGACAAATATTGTTTCTGTGTGTGAAAGTGTCGTGTGCTTGTATATATATCAATACTTACCAAATCTGATAACAGGATTACAAAAACTAGAATATATTTTAACTTACTACCAAAGTATTTATCCTATAAAAATGAGGTAGGTAATCATTGAAAACAGAAATAACTGCCTAATGATATCATATGTACAAGAAAATAATCATTTTCATTAAAGATCTTGTACCTACTAATAATCATATTTATAGCACTAGAATTGTTTGGTCAAATTTTCGGCTTTGTTTTGTTTATAAAAGCATTACATGTAGTTTGAATATCAATTTTACGATATTAACAGTTAAAGTTCTCTTTTAAATGGCCTCCTGGTCGTGTTTCGTAGGAAACTCCTCAATAAACTTATTTGGTTATTTAAGTGAATTTTTCTTGTCTGTTGTTTTTTGTTACAGTAACATTCAAATAGTTGCATGTACAATATGCAAGAATCCACATATGTATACATACTATTCGTAGTAATTAAAGTGTAATTTTCTTAGTTCCATTAAGACAAAGAGGAAATGAAATAGCATCGAGTCTTGTTTACTGAGGCAACGTCAGTCAAGTGGCTAAACGGATTTCCGCTGGAGTGATTTCTTTAAGGACTCTTAATTTTATGCCCATTAATTAGTTGCGTATTTGTCTTTAGATTCGTATTAAATAGTATATTTCCAAATATTTTGAGGTGGCATCAAATTTACAAAAAAAATACCTTTTCGTCGAAATATATTTTTGTAACATTCATTTCTTGTCAGTGGGTTCGCAAAAAATATATTGGCCAAGCAAAGTTGTCCCAGTGCCAAGCTGCACATATGAGATGACAGAAACTTACGAGATTGCTGCAAGTTTCTAGAACGAAAGTTTAATCGCGAAAAACAACATTCTAACTGCAATCCGAGTACGTTATCTGTGTGCTAAGTTTTTAATGTCTTCGACCGAAAATTAGTGATATCAAAGTTATAATATACAATAGCATATAATATAGAAATTTGTATCACACACATCACAACTTAATTTGCGTATTAGGTATAATTATTGTATTTTGCGCAATGCTGTGACCACAAGCTAACTGTTTATAAGGCATTAACATATATGTAATTTCAACATGGACGTTGGCGCTTTTACCGCAATACTTTTATTACAATTGAACAGAGGTGTTTTGCCACTGGAGTAATCAAGCTTTGGCTTTTACTCAGAAAAGTGTTGATTGCGTTTCCAGCTTCAATATATACTTCATAATTATATGAAGTATATTGCTTTCAATATTTAACGGTTAGAATTGTGTTTAAAAGATTAAATTATATGAGGAATTAAAAGGAAATGATAGTAAAATTAATATTAAACAAATTTTAGACAAACATCTTGTTTAGAAATAATAATGAACTCGTTTACAATTCCAACTTCGTTAGATGTAATCACGATAGCACGATGATCGACGACATGTTATAAATAAAAAGTATGGGACTGATTGGTCCCTATATATAATTTATATTATACTAAAGTACTAACCTAACAAATAATCCACATTACTCGGATCTAATTTAGCCAATTGCTCCCTGGTATGTATGTACTGCGCCCGTAAATGTCTTCTTTTCTTTTCTCTCGCCCAGTCTTCAGCGAGATTTCTGCCGTCCAGCCTCCTACCTTCTCTATTTGGGTGCTCGGGGTCTGGTGTTACGTTTGGCAGAAAATGACGCCGACCACCACCCATTAAAACCTATAACAATATTTCATATTAATTAACCTACCTTTCAAATATGGTCCTAGTAGTAAAAGTGGTTTTATATTATATAGAACATAGACTTTTATGGAGTTTATACGTCACTTATGTGTTGCACCGCAAAGTTCTGCTTTAGCTATGGAATTCGTAGCGTTGCTGGCTTTTGCTTAGGTTATTAGGCAGTATTTTTAATCGTCGTTATAATCAACCTCATAATCACGTTCGTAATCTTGGGGTTACCTTATACGGTAAACTGAACTTCCACTTACATGTCGATTTGCTGGATGCTATATTTCTTTTAACCTGTGCAACACTATGCTGGACTAAGCTCATATCTTGTTTGAATGGAGTATTTCTGTTCCTAGAGGTTTGAGACGTTGCTTGTGGTTCTACGCTCCACTAAACAAAATGGATAGAATGTGCAATAGGCTGTAGGGCCCGTACAATCTTGATATTTTATATATATTTTATTTATTATTATAGATATTTTCGGGGCGCCTATCAGATTACAGGAAGGGCATATTGTTATCACTTTTTTAGGTACTTTTACAATTCTTTATAGTTTACAGTCTCTTTTTGTAATCCATTTGTAACATTTTTCTTTGAATTATGTTGTATTCGTTATAATTAGTTTCTTTCCTTTTATTTGTTTTTTTCTTATGTGTAACCTTGTTGGTGCGGCTATAAATAAATAAATAAACAAATAATACTTAATAAAAGTTTTTTTGAACCAGTTTAGTGAAACACAACAACAGGGGTAATTTAATTATCCTTAGACTTTTAATATCCGCTGAATGAACAAAGGCTCGTTTAAATAAAGTCGCGAGCTATATTGTGCAGAATAAAGGGGTGAATTATGCAAGTTGAATAACGCCAGGCGTAAAGCCTCTTATGGCGAATCTCTATTGCTCTCGGTCTTAATAAAAGACTAACAAACAGACGCTCTTGAGAGTGAAACAAATTATTCGTTCTGAACTTCGGGATTAATTTCATTTTGTATATAGTTTTCATAAGTTTAGGATTGAATTTGAAGCCTCCTGCTGATAGAGGACAACTCTTTGTTTTTAATTTATGTTATTATTATTAATTACTTAAGATGTCATGGGGAACATGGTTTAATGGTTGCAGCTCGTTACAAACGTTGTGTAAAAAAAAATGGCGATTAAAAAGAGTGGCGGAGGGTTTATTGCCAGTTCTTCTCTTCCGTTCTACGCCCTTGATTTGAGAACTGGAAATGTAAAATTAGAAGCATGAATATCTATTTCTTTACTGACAAGTCATAAGTGTACAATGTGTTACCTACATGATTAAATGGTTTTTTAATTTTTGAATTTGAAAGGTAATCGTAAAAAAACAAAAGTGTAATTAATTAGTGGTAAAACCGCCACACAAATACTCAACTGTATAACTGTGCCGAAAAACAGGAAAATGTTCTGCATATTCATTTAGGCATCTTTTACAAGGGCTGCGAGGGCAACACGATTTCTACGGAATAATATATTTTGCATTTGTGCAAACGTGTGAAACGAAAGCACGATTACATTGATGCATTATGGCGTAAATTTTTTGTGATACTTATTTTTTGTACTTCACTATATTTGTAAAATTATTAAAATCTGTTGAAAGGGTTAAATTTAAGAGTAGGTTAGGTAATAGGACTCACGTTGATAACCTAAACGATATATATAATTTAGAATAATTCGTAAAAGATTCTCAATTGCAAATATGTATATTCGACTGATAGGGCACGTGTAGCTTCTAACGAAAAAGTCCTTAAAAATAATATTAATGTACCCTAACATATCTCGTTACTTTAATAAATTTTAAACGTAAAAAATATGCCATTAAATTTTATGTAAACGAGTACATACTAGTTACTTTGTTGGGACCAAGTAGAAAAGGAGTGCCGTTGACTCAAGAGTTGGTATGCGCAAGCATTTATAATTAACACCTTAAAAGCCCCAATTAAATATATAGACGTAATTAACAGACAAAACCTTTAGAGCTACAGCAAATTGCTAACTACTTCGCTTATTATCTTTACAAGTTTAACGAAATTAACAATTACAATTCTTACGATTTCTAGAAGTGTTAGTTACATTTATCCAATTAAACAAATTATGATATCATCCCATTCAGTAATTAATTATATAGTTACTGTTTATTTTATTAAAGTATTTTCATTGACTAGACTGGAATTTGAGTAACAACAAGGAAAAATCAAGCTTTCAAAATACGTCACACAGCATGCTGATACGCCATCGTTATACGTATACTTAGTATTTCCTCTCTCGAGTACTTCCGCTAACTTTTGTAAATTTAACAATTTTAGTGGTAAGAAAGAAACTTTTAATAAAATTATGAATCTGTACAAAATATTTAATTTAATATCCAAATAATTTTTGGTCCTTTTGTATATCTGATTAATAGCTTATAATTGCGAATTATATTAACATTATATGAATAATTTGCAAGCACATACATTTATGCTCTTCCCTGGTTCATTTTCAACAAGTTGTAGGGCGATGTCCTTGCAGTCTCGCCTAACAGTGGGTGGCACTCTGCTGTCATCTTCCCAATAGCGCGAAGGCGCGTGCGCATATAGAGCAGCTGGTGTTGCATGAGTGATTCTCGCAGTTGTGACGATGCCACTAGATTTACCTGATCATTAAAATGAATGCAATGAATTAGGTCCAGTATAATTTTGGTAAACCTTGAGCTTAGCTTATAGACTTTACACGGTAGAGATTAAAAAATAACGTTACTGATTAATAAGAAAAGACAGATAAGTTTTAAAGATTAGTTTACCTAATGGCACAAAATAAGAATATACAATAAAAAAAAAATATATTTTATTATATAAGATACAGGTATTACTTATTCCACGTCATTAAAATTGAATCTGTAGACATCACTACATCGGCGAAGAAGACAGAGGATGTAGGCCGAGAGAAAAAGCCGGCGTAAAAAACTCTTGGTACTCTTTAAAAATAGCAAATCATCAAATAACACTTATTTTAAAACAAAAATCGCAAATGAATTAGAAGTAGCCTGTCTAGCACTAGTCCCAGGTATATAAGAATTTATTTTTGCGTAAACCCGTGTTCGACAGGCACGAGATCACGAATAACAGTCTACGACGTAGCATGCTACGTAGACCATAAGAACAATAATTATGTTTTCTCTATCCTAGTTGGGAACAGCCCAAATAAATTTATTTTATTAGGAAATTTTAAAGTTATTCACGTGCTATTATTAATTATATTATTTTGTTAAATTGTTAATTTTTAAGCGAGTGGCACTGGAGTGACTGTCCTCCGCATTACTAATTTTGCAACGAACTGTCATGGAACTAGATATCGTTTGTATCATTTCGTAATAAGGTTAAGCTCATAAATCCCATAGAATACCGAGGAGTTGTTACCTGCATCATGCGCCCAATCTATCAGAGAAGTAACTTTGGAGTGAGATGCCGAGGCGCAGTTGTTGAATCGTCCACTAGCGTCGAGTCCTAAGGTTTCATATCTCGCCTTTACCCCACAGAGCAGAGCAGTTGCACAAGCCGATGATTCGCCGGTTTGAGCGTCCACGTTGTATGTCTACGGGGAAAGCGTGATAGTATTTAAGTTTCCATAAAGTGACCGACATTGTTTTACAAGTAGCAAATGCTGCTAATAAAACATATATTTATTTAGAATTAAGTCCTGTGTTTGTAAATGGCAACTTACGTGATTTTCATTTACAAGATAAACAGACTATTCAAATAAGGGATGAAGGAGACCCAAGATTGTTTGTATAAGCAATTGTTTATCTTGTTTGTTAATATGTCGGATAATGAGAATGAAGCTTTACTAGGAAATGGTATTAGTGGTACAGTTTAACTTGTATTACGAAAAATGTATTATACAAATGGCGTGTCTATAGGTATCATAAAAGTATCTTAAAATATTAGAATTTTTATTTTTTGTCTTTTGTCATGATAATCACTGAAATGACTATTTTATATCTCCACGGATCTACAAATGTAGAGCGTAGCTGATTTGATCAGACCAGATAAAACAGTTATGCTCGCTTATGTTAATATTCTTAATTAAAAGACTGTCACTAAAAGAGACGATTTCTCCAAGTACAAAATTTGTTCCTACTTTATAGTATTTTTGGCTTTTTCAATACAATGTTTTGGTAGACGCAGAAATGGATTCAGTCCAGTTTTGGATTCCGGGGAATTTTATGAAATGAATTCTAATTCTGAAATGGGTGTCGACAGGTGCCTATCAAATATCAAGATGATTAATTACTTACTTTGTAAAGTAAATTGTAAATAAATTTCTTATATAACTATTATGTATGTATCTTTTAGGAGTTTTAATTATATATTCGACGCTATCGCTGCGTCTTAGTTTATAAGGATCGTGGCTGATTTACGAGTCGGCTTATCTTTCATTAAAGTGCTTAAATCTTAAACAAAAACAGGGTAAGCGCAAGTCACATATGACTTCCATAATATGAACACAAATACAGCAGAATAATATTTGGGTTTGCTAAACTTGGCTCCATCTTTGTGTTAATCCGACCTTTGCCGAAGATAAGACTGTGTGTAACCTTAATTTTAATTAAGGCCTCAGCGTAACGTGAACGGGTATTACATTTATCTTTAATGAATGACGATTTAAGGCTTAGTAGAGATATTGTCGAACATACTATGGAGTCATTTCTTGGAGACTCTTGGTTATCATAATTTATTTTAACATCAAAAACATTCAAAATGTGTCTTTTTATGCTTTCACGTGTTATTCAACATTGTGGAAAACATCACTTTCTATAATTTTAGTGATTCGATAGTAAATTCTATCATTACAATCTATTAACATGTTTTAAAACTCCTAGGAGTTACAGTCTTACACTTATCACATTCTATATTCTAAATTAGAGTCACCTTCGCCAACGCCACAGCGGGGAAAGTGTCCCAGACCAGATCAGTGTCCTCTCCGCTCTGACCCCTTCGTTGGCCGCGAAGTATCCTTGCGGCAGTGGTTGTGGTTAGGCTCATCCCGTCCCCTACTACTAATATCACGTTCCTAGAAAATGTATTAACTCTTCAGATAAGTTTTAAAACACATACTGTTGCTCACCTGTTATTGTTAATCACGTTCTCACTTTTGACAGATTATCATCAAAAGGGGTAATAACTAATAATAATTAAACAATTTTTTTTTTGGTTTAAACAGTTGAAATAACTTACTTTTTATTAGTAGGGAACCGTATATTACAATATTAGAGTGGGAGGACTGTGACAAATATTCTACAAAGAACCGAATTCAGTTTCGCCTACCGACATTTTCGGCTATAAAGGGGTACGGCACTGCTTAAACGCGGCGGCTAATTAAAACTAATTGCTCCGTATATTCACCTACGATACACAAATATGAGGACTTCGGGGGAACAATGAGCTTCATTAAAATTCCTATATTTGAGAATCCTCGCACTTAAAAAGACCCCAGTCTGCAGCCGCTTGGAGTTATTTATGATTGTCCCCAATTTGAAATTCATTAGGTATGGTTCCTTAAATTAATAGGAAAAGCATCGCGAACATATTTTTCTTGAAATTATATATAACACTTGCCTGTAAAATAAGTATTTAATTTTAAAATTTAAATGTTAACTTTAGTCCCAGCGCCAGCTGAGGAGCGTGAGATAATTAATAAAATTGAGCATGTATATTTTTATATATATATTTATGTCGAAGCAATGGCGCTGATGTCAGCTGCCATTATCATCATAATTATGTCACAGAGTTCGTAAAGTGACAACGTCAAAGTCTATCAGTTTATAACCGTACTTGTAGTTTATTCGATTTGCCAATATTACTAGATCTCCAAATAACGACTATTTGATAAATTATAGTAATAGTAATTTTTATTTCATAGTCATTATTATTATTAATGGCGAAGCCGCTATTATCATTATAATTTCTGTCTTTACCTTTCTGTCATTATACGACAATATATTATTATCATTAATCGTTAGTTACTATCTCTGACTTTCTACCTTCCTATTGCCACGCGTAATCATTGGACCTTCCTGCGCCGTTATTGAGGTGCTGCCCTCGTTCCTGTTACTATTTCTTTACTCACTCCGTTATATATGGAGTTATAAAGTTAGGCCCTAATAAATTGCTGCGAGAATACCGAAACAAAAATGGCCATGAAAATAAGACCTAAGAGTAATTTTCTTTTTTGCTATTAATTTATTTGTAACACGACGTAAATGGCTCGTAAGGTCGCCGTTTGATAAATTATGCCAGCTTTTATAGGCACGAATCTTCGGGGGGTCGCAAAGAAAATGAAACTGTAATACGTGTAAAATACATAAATTAATGACTTCAAACACCGAGGAAATAATTATGTTATGTTAGTTTTTTTAAAAACGTTGATTTGAGGTTGTCTTAAAGGTTATTCTATTAGGAATAACTTGTTTATCATAAGAAAAAAAAGTACCAAAAAGTTGTAATGTTTTTGTGATCTCTTTTTAAATAAAACTTATATAAAATTTCGGACATTTGCATCCTACAAGCTAATCTGTATTGGGGCCCTGCGACCCCCACAATACCAGTTACGTTAGTGAATTTAAGATACCAGTTAAGGGTTAAGCTTTGAAAAGTGATAAACATTACTTTTGACACAAGGTACAATAATTGTTTGTGAATAATTAATAATTATTGCACATTATCTATGCTTTTTCATTTTGTGAAATGCTTTTATATACTTAGTATTGACGTCAGTTAACTCAGGTTCAAACCAATATACTTACTTTGCAATAGGATTTTTCCCAGTTACGTAATGAAGACGTTTTTGCAATGTTTCCTGCGCCTGAGTATACCAATATTGGCGATCTGAAAAGGAAAACATCTTTAAATTCACGTGACCTTTTTAATGTAAATAACAATAAATATGTTACAATTTAGAAGTGCTCCATTTTATTTATTTAATTAAATTTCAATAAGTGCGACTTACTTTTTATTCCTTACAAAAAGTAAGTCGGTACTAAAGTAAAGGTATATTAAACATGGTTAATGGAACAGTGAGTCAGAGTGTCTTGTACATTAATGGTTTGCAACAAAGGAACTAATTTAGTGAACAATGCGGAGTGGAAATAGTTTACTCTAAATACTAAATACGTGTGTCCTAGGACGAAAATGCTAAACCGAAGTGTTTGTGCTATGAGCGAACTATATTGCTTGTATTTTAATACAAAGTGGGCTTATAACTGACACTTGGAGGCCTCATTAATATTATAAAAATTTAATAATTGCTTACACCGAATATAATATCGCCAAAATATCAGTAAAACCGGTAATTTATTTTCTTTACGCTTATGCATACATTTGATTACATAATTAGACGAGAAGAATGTAACACAATGTTAAATAAGCGAACAAAATCACCTCCACCAAACACTTAATTCTGCTGAATTGCCCCTTGGCTTCCAGTCCTTACCAAAATACATATTATGATTGTGTGTGTACACTTGAACATTCACAAAAATAATCATCAAAATCGGTCCAGCAATTTAAGAGGAGTTTAACTGCAAATACACGCGCAGAAAATGTATATACTCATATATAAAGACTAGGACATTAGACTATTTCGAAATGACGCTTGGATTTAGGTTGACTGACAACAATCTGAATATGTGAAGCCCGCCGCTAAATATGTATATTTTTCTTAAAACACTTCTTTGTAATTAGTAAATGTACAACATTAGCTCTAGAGTTTCAAGAGTCCCCTTTTTTATTAGAAAAATAAACCATGTACCAACTTTCTATAAATAAGATTTTTTATTTGTCCCCAAAATCTGCTTTGTTATTCGAGTGGCTGTTCTGGCATCGTTGAAGTCACGGCTACAAAAATGTATTGAAGAAGCTGTTGAGAGCTCACTGTATACTCGAGAAGGCGTGATAAGTGCCAAACAACTCCAGCGAGTTAGTTTTGTGCGAGTGATAATATATAGAAGTCTCATTTTTTAAGAACAAATATTTGAGGAACAATGGCTGATCAAAAAAATAACAATACTCAAAAAGCGTATCCCATTTAAAACCAAACTTTCACTTTACAACGCGCTTTGCGAGTCAGTCATTAATCACGGTCTAACTGGCTGCGGTAGAACTTATTCAACCTAATATATAACCTCCAAATGCGTATCCTCAAACACGGTGTCTCGAGAAATGTGCTCGACTCATATAAAAATCAAGAAACGGGAATTTTTATACACTGCAAAATACTGCGCATAACAGAAAAAATAAATAAATGTCTTCTAGTCGAGTACCTCGAGCTGAAATAAAAATAACGAGTTGAACTTGACGTACATACCCAAGCTGTAACGCAAGTTCGGCTCTGTACATCGAGAGCAAAGAGTTTATGGCGAGGGAAGGTTGAGGTATTTGCTACCACGGCTAGTCCATTTAGGACTGCCCAGTCAGTTATTGGATAGCCTAACGTTAACCAACATAAAAGTAAGTTGAAAAACTACTTTTACATACATTTGTGGCGTTCCAAAACAAGACTACTATGTTCACATTCATACAAACCACAGCGGTATTCTAATGTAACATATTATGATTTTATAACATTATCCTGTAAAATAAATAAAGGTTATAAAGACAATTGACAGAGTTGTTGATCTTAAATTCTATTGAACAGATAAAAATAATTATCTAATTACTATAGTCTAAACTAACACTAAACACAATTTGTTTAGTGTTAGTTAGTCCATATTTTACCGTAAGTTTCTTTAACTTCAGCATTCATCGGCGCCGGAGACAACACGCCGGTACTGATCGTGGACACCATAATCACAACACGGCACCACACACTCATGGTTAGAAAACTTCATCGGTGCAGAGGCGCAAGCGTCGCGCAAATGTACTTTCGGGCACGACAATTTCATCTGACCCAAATCTGCAAAAGCAATAAAAACAAACATGTATAAAATAAAAAATAGCTTCAATGTTATTCTTGACCTCTGACTAATTAATTACTCGGAGTAATTAAATTAATTTGAAATGCTATATTTCAATTTCTAATAAGTTGAAATTAATATTTTGGCCTCCCAAAAACAAAAAGTTGAATCGAACTCAAGTTATTCTTCATATAAAGTGTCAGTGAAACTGTTCTCTTAAATTATTACATCACAAATGATTTCATAATTAAATAATTCCGGTCTATTGATATTTCATTGTTTAATCGATTGTATTTCCACAATAGGAAAAACGATTTCACTCAAGCATAATAAATTTTCCCGTATTGTGAGAGGATTCGATTATGAACCGAGATTGCCAAGGGAATTAATCACATTCCTGAATATCATCTTCGTTCTATAACAATAATATTTATATTTTATTTATTCAATTACATCACAGGCAAATAAAGAATTGGTTTAACGGAAATATGTTGTAGGTGACATAATAAAAGTGTCAACAATCCATTTATATCGCAATTTATTATATATTAATAACTAAAATCTATTTGCTATTTCCACAACAACATTTGAAAGTTTAAAATTCGTTTAAAAGAGTGGTGTCGCGTATAAAACATAAAAGCTCTGTACGTGGATGCGGGCTTTTCCACCTTTCAAATGTACTTTTATGCTTTTTGCTAGACCAAAAGCAATTATACAACCACACATGCACAGTGCATTGTAAATCTAGTACCACACATTAGAACATGATGATTCTCGATCCTAAACCTACTTCAGCATTTTTCATCAGAAGCTAAAGTTCAAAGATCAACTGGAACTATATATTTTGTAGGTTACCTATTGCTTACATAAAACATCTTCAATACTTTAGTCATTTCTTTTCAAAAATATCCTTAATAAATATTTAATCTATTTTTAAACAATTGATTAGTGCTTCTACAATATCTTCACTATGGAAGCTAGCCAAAACATATAGCTTATATATGATAGGCAAAATAATTTGGGCAGCATGTCAAAACGCTCAATCATGACGCAGTATTATTACGCCTTTATATCGGAGGGTAGACAAAGCTTAACTGAAATTTTATAATGAAATTATTCGACCCCCAACTTGAATCACTGTACACTAATGTATATTTATTTCTATGCGCAATTTACATTCCCCTTACGGTCAAGAATAAAATCGTTTGTAATTAATTTTAAATGCTTTGCTGTTCATTACTCATAATCATTGGTTAAGTCAGTGTATAGTTTTAAAAACTTGTTGAAAATATTTATTCTATTATTGGTTTCATGTTTTATATTGACTGTGGCAAATATAGGACTTCAAAATGGTTATCAAAAACACTCGGTAGCTGTTTACGATCTATACGCTTCGTTCGATCCAAAATATCATTTTCAGTTAATTTATCGCTGACGCTTCGGTTTGATTCATTTGGCGTTAAATCATTTTAACCGCTTGTTGGATTTTTTCCACCCTGTTAACGTATCAGTTTTATTAATCAAGTTCAGTGTACAACAATTATAACTTAAATGAATGCATTCTATAGTTACACAATGAACACTATGCATCTAACATTGCGAAAAATTGGCGACATGTGCCATGTCATGGAGGATGCCGCTTTGTGACATTATGTCAAAAAAATATCGGAAAGGATGATTTATATATGACGCCAAATTAATTTTTTGTTATAAGGTTGCCCAAAATGTTTTCAAAAATAGTGAATTCATTCGAGTTCGATACTGATGCCCTCTGGGCTAAGCTTGTACCAATGTTATACAAGAATTAAATTGCATACGCTGTCGACATTTAACAAAATTTGACAAGCAAACGTCGGAGAGGCGCATTCCAACTGAACGGTAACCAAGAAAGTCACGCCGAAGTCGATCAAAAGTCAAAATCATGTTGACTGTTTTCTTTAGCTATAGTAGTGTCGTGTACTAACAATTTTTGCTTTTAGCACCGCGATGTAAATATACATAACAACATCTACCAACCCTATTAAACTTAGGTCACACAACTAACAAACAATAACTCACTTACTTAAGTAATTATTATTAATTTATCGTATGTAGAAACACACTGTGCGAAAGATTAATCTACTCAATAAGCGATATGTTTATACTTTGTATTTATATGTACCTTAGACATGCTAAAGTTACATTATGTTGAAAACTTTCGATTTTATTTGCTCAATACCAACGACTAGCTTGGTTTCAGGAATCCGAGGTGAGCTTCAAACTTTATCTATAAGATGTTCGCTAACTTTCAGGTAAAGATTCCATTCGACGAAGACATTAAGGTTTGATTTCACCTGTATAGTCCTGCACACAAAGTAGCACGTTCACCCAATGTATTTAATAGTAAACACAATCAAGTCAAGAAAAAATGGTATTGATATTAAGACATTGACTCAAAAGTCAAAAGTCAAATTAACATTTATTCATATACCTAGGTAACACAATGTACACTTGTGAACGTCAAAAAGAAATAGGTATACATTTAATGCTTCTAATTTTACATTTACTGCCAGTTCTCAAATCAAGGGCGTAGAACGGAAGAGAAGAACTGGCAATAAACTCTCCGCCACTCTTTTTAATCGCCAAGTTTTTTTTTCTATTACACAACGTTTGTAAGGAGCTGAAACCATTACACCATGTTCCACATGACATCTTAACTAATAAATAATAATAACATAAATTAAAAACAAAGACTTGTCCTCTATCAGCAGGTGGCATGGTGAAATAGGAGCACGCACTTACATTCTCGTGGGAACAACTCGCAAATACATAGTCGAAATAACTAACATAACTATGAATCTACTCAGATTAATGTTCCTGCATTGCAACGTCTACTGAGGCGGACCAACATTTTCTCCTTCGAAAATTCTATTAATATTTCAAGGATAAAAAAAAATATATTGAAATCGGCAGTTTGCAAATAAATGCAAACATGAATTTATTAGCAGTTATGGCAAAGCTTGTTTTTATAGGAAACTAAGAAAGGTTATATTGTTGCAAGTCACGCAACACGATAGCGTTTTAACGCTGCCTTGTGGTTTCTCGAGCTAGTTAAGAAAATTGTTAATCTTGATTTATGCAACATAGTAATCAAACGATTACAAGTGAAGTAGACCTAATTAAGTCACGCCGCACACTTAACCTAAACCTCGAATCTAAATTCTTGGAGATGAAGGTACATAAAAATACTATTCTTTCTTTAAATGGTGTCAAAGGATAGCAAGCCCTGAAGTCACTGAAAGGAAATATCGCAAAGTAGAATAAGAGTACATAAGTTTTCCGAAACGATAAAAATTAATTCGACTTACCGCGATGTTTTTGTTAATATATCACTTAAATGCAGAACGAAAATATTAGTATCACTAAGAGGGATGATTAATGATGTGGGGAATAACCTTGGAAAATATTTTCTCAGGCAAGCATCGTATCCCAATCCAACCTTATAGATGCTAAACCTACGGTGTTAGTCCGACAACGAATGCTAATGTTACCAAAAAATACATTATATTTTAAATAAAAGTTTATTGATTTATGTGAAACGTTGATTTATGTCCAAACGAGTTCTGCTCTGCAAGGAGATCAGTAATTCTCCCAAATATTAAAAGTAAAATAAACATTTTTTATCTTAATTATAGCCTATAACAAGCTGTAAAACTGAACTTGCCAATACAATTTTAATCTAATCGATGATTACAAAAGGCCAAGACTGAAGCAGTTCAGCAGTTCTTTCTCCATTTCTAATTAATTGGTTCATTTATAAAAGAATAGAAACGCTGAAAGGTTTGTACAGTAAATTTGTGGATTAAATGATCAAAGACAAAAAACGAACCACATTATACATATATACATAGTATACATGCAGTGTAAACTCTTTATAACGTAAAAATGTGTTAAATTTATTTTAGAGTAAGATCCCAGAGCGATAAGACACAACTTATTTTCTAAAGCATAGAACCTTCGGTTCTAAGTAGTCTCTGGTGTGCTTTTTAATACCTGTACGCTTGTTGAGTTGGCTCGGTGACACCTGCGCATGTACCAGGTGAGAAAGGTAACTGAAAATCAGAGTAACTTAAGTTAAATTTTAATGACTGATTTTTATATATAATTTGTAGAATATTACTCTGAAGTAATATCAAAAAAGTCAAACGCTTTCCATGGGCCAGAACTTTTGTCAGACGCTTTAAAGCTTTACAAAAAATAAATGAACTTAATTTATTTTTAAATGTCTGATTTTTATATATGTTATTCAAATAAGTATTACAAAGTTATATTTAATCAGTCAGACAAATTGTAATGACCAAACATCCCCTAAACACAAAAATTACTCAACTATGAGTATGAGCGCGAGAGCAGTATACATGCGTTTAGGACAATGATGAAGACTATTAAGAGACAATCAAAGTATTTCATTAATTCATCATAATTAATTATTTTTTATACTAAAATTATTACAATTGATATCTTTTTTAAAATAAAATAAAAAATATTCTTTTTGAAAGACAATTGCTCCGAAAAAATTCATTTTTCCCTATATATCTGTAATATATATATAATTACTTTTAAAATGATTATTATTTTAATTAAAATTTTTATCTCATTTAAATAGATATGCAAAAATATGAAATTGAAAGCAGTAAGTATTTTTCAAATATTAGGGTATTTTACTCTGAAACGCATGTATACTGCTCTTGCGCTCATACTCATAGTTGAGTAATTTTTGTGTTTAGGGGATGTTTGGTCATTACAATTTGTCTGACTGATTAAATATAGCTTTGTAATATTTATTTGAATAACATATATAAAAATCAGACATTTAAAAATAAATTAAGTTCATTTATTTTTTGTAGAGCTTTAAAGCGTCTGACAAAAGTTCTGGCCC